GTGTTGTTCGTTCGGCGCTGGGCCGTCGAGGAGGGTCCGGGGGGTTGGAAGGCAGAGCCGTTTGAGGCCAGGAGCCGTCTGAAGCTAGAAGCATGTTGTGAGGGGGCATGCAGGCCGGACTTGGGAACAAGGCCTGTCTCCTTCACCCAAAGGGCTCAAGCCGGGAGGTCGAAGCACAGGCGGCTCTTGTGAGACCGCATTGCCGGCGAAAATCTTGGCAAGTTGCTTTGCTCAAAACAGGAGAGGTGAGGCGGTCGTTGGGGCGAGCTGACGATGTTGAAAGTGGAAATGTTTGGAGGGTGGGGGTTGGGGGAAAGGATGAAAGTGCCGACAACACAACCTTTAAAGCCGCAAACTCCTCTGGTTTAAAGCCGGAGGGGCTTGAAGGCTTGATTAATTTAATCAAAAGGCACAAGGGGCTCTTCTGAAAGCACCTCGCATGTAAATCTGAAGGGACACAGAGGGGAAAGGCTGGAAATGGCAGAACGGGGATCGGAGACGAAGGGGATGGAGCAGGGGTGGGGAGTGTACAACCGTACAAAAAATGGCAGCCGGGGGCAGCGGACAACAAACTGCAAGTGACAGCGCCATCAGTAAGAGAAGAGGAGTAGTACCAGTAGTACTCGTCGCAGTAGTAGTAGGAGTAGTAGAAGGACTGACGACTCGAAGTAGGCGTAGGCATAGAATATAGAAGTAGGAGTAGTAGCAGTAGTAGCAATAGTTAGTAGCAGTAGGACGAGCAGTGGTAGTAGTAGGAGTACTACTACTACTGATACCACTACCACTACCGCTACCACTACCACTAGCACTATCACTACCACTACTACAACAACTACTGCTGCTACTACTACTACTACTGCTGCTACCACCATCACCACCACTACCACCACTAGTACCAGTACAAGCACGAGCACTAGAACTTACGCACAAGCAGCACCAGCAGCAGCAGCAGCTGCAGCAGCAGCAACGGCGGCTGCAACACCGTCTTACCGGCAATAGAGACGTCGACAACAAATCCAAGATTAAACGGAAGTAGTATCCCAGCAAAGGCCAAGCCTCCGCAATTTTTGGAGTGCTGCGTAGGTTGATTAATGCTGGGACAATTCAAACATATTTCCTATGTATTCTCCCATGCATGCATGCGTCGTGCATACATTTGTTGCATGCCCACATGGACGCCTGCATGCAGAAGTCATGCAGAAACCATTCTCTGTAAGCAGAACCCAGAAGTCGTTGAGCCGTTTGACAGGAAACTACATGAGCACATTACAAAGAAAGAAGATATGCCAGTTATAAAATCGAATAGTGCGGAATCTTCAGGCTTATCGGCAGTAGATGGGCTGTAGATGTGACTGGAAGCATGTGGCAAACCGGCAGGGCCAAGCGAAGATCCATCCAAGAGCTGAGCCAACTCAGTGGACAAGTCTTCCAAAGGTGCCCTGCATGCATTGTAGATAGAAAAGATGTCGGGAGAAGAGCAGGTGCCGTTGCATGGCGAGAGCCATGCGCAGCCAAGTGGCACCGGCTTGCTTTTCTTGAAATCTAGGTATTGCATGTGCTTCAGGTATGCAACGGGCATGAGTGGGACTGCGCCTCTTGGCAGCAAGCCGACGAGAGTTGCTAATGCTCATGCGGAAGGAATGGTGAAGCCGGAACGGACACAGGTTGCTTGGCAATCGCCTGTTTAACTGAGGCCTACCTATATGCGGAGGAATGATCTGCAGCAGTGCCGCAAGCAGAGGGTCTTACGTTGCCAACGAGTCGCCAGTTCACTAGGTATCGATTCGAGAGAAGTTTTGACATCCTTTATTGTTGAAGATGTGTCGAGCCTCAAGTCCAGTGCAAGAGTCTTGATAATTTGTGTTTCAGTCTGCCGCGAAGCGATGCTTGCCCGCTGAGGCTTGACATGGTCAAGCACAGACCTGAGGGCGAAGGGTGGGAGGGTTCGGTCGTTCCACATGTTGTGCACGAGATGTCATCTCTTGGTTTGGCCGTATTAATATACATACTAATATTAATATAAATACTAATATTAATACTAATACCTAATATTAATACTAATACTAATATATGTTGACCTCTGTGCCAAGGGACGGGGGACAAGAGCTTTCTGATGCGCAGACAGAGGGGCTGAAGAAGGCGCCATGTTGAAGTCTAAGCAGGCTTCTATATCTAAGGCTGGTCGAGTGTGCTCGCGTGAGGCATACGATGAGACCCTGCATCTGCAAGTCGAGGTAACGAAGGCCGGGAGGGGCATCACGCCTCATCAGTCGCGCTGGCCTTGTCCTTGTTGTAGTTGGTGGTTGCTCCTGTTCTTGGACTTAAGTTCTTATTGGTATATTATCGTTGTCATCACCACAGCCGCAGCCACTACTGCTGCTGCTGCTGCGACCGATACCACCACCGCCACTGCTGGTGTTACTAATACAGTTTCGGCGGACTAGTACGACTACGACGGCGACGACGACTACTACTACTATTGCTAGGTGGGTGACAAAAACTACTATTGCTGCTGCTCCTGCTGCTGCTGCTGCACCTGCTGGCGAATACCTATCTACTACCTACTACCCATCACCCACGACTCACTACCTACTGCTACCACCGAGCCACTCCGCGTGCACATGAGATTGCCCTGACTGGAGGCCTCCAACGGGCTGTCGAAGCGGCTTGCAAGCGACAGAAGACTGTTGTAGTGGTTTCCGGTTTTCCGTATCGATGGGTGTTTGGGTTAAGCTCTTGAAGCTGAGGCAGTTTTTCAAGGTCTTCCTTGACAAAGCCCAGACCTCAGAGTACGAGACGCTTGGTGATTGGTGGCGCATAGCCCCAGTTTAAGTCTCCGGATCATGGCGACCATACCACTCCTGCGCAATCATGGTGTAAGCCTACATTGCCGTATAGAAACCCTCAACATGATGCAGCATAGGCGGGCTATCCAGGTCTATATAACTAGTTCCCACAGGCCGTGCAAAGACCAGCAAGACCACACGCCATTATTCAAGGGCCTTGATTGGGGCGGGGTGGTCTGTCACAGTCATCTGGAAGAGAAGAAGATTGAACAATGGCCAGACCATCTTAAAGGGATGTTGTCGCAGGGTCGCGAAGCCAGACCGGTTCGACTTTCGCAGGGCTTCTCCGGGACAGCCCGTGGCTCCAAGCCGTTTCTGACACACGCCTTGGCCACTCATATCCGGGCATAGATGACGACATAGGCGCTGCACTGCAACCGCACCCTCAGGCGATGCAGGAAGCGGGATGGTATCCCGGTCCTGAAATCTTGGAGGCGAGGAATAGCTGACGACTCGCTGTGTGAGCTAGCTCAGAGCTTAGGCTGTCAAGTGCCTGAGTGTTTTGTCAGAACATCCGGGATGCCGGGTCAGGGCCCTTGTAATCCTATCCCTGAAGGTCAAAAGCATTTCACTATTTCGGGTTTACAGTTTTGGGTCCCTCATTTTCGAGAAAATGACCCGAAACCTCCGCCCTTAGCCCAGGCTCCACTCTAAAGCCCCAGGCCTTGCACGAGAAGGCGCAGGCGCAGGATGGCTTTGCATGAAGCCCTGGCTTGAGACTCGGATTGGATTAGGCAAGAGTTCTGGTAGAAGTTTGAACTTCAGGGCTGCTAGGGAGTTGTGCTTGCCAAGGACTCGGCAGCATGCCTCCAGTTTCGGCGAAGAATGAATTCAATGCCCAGAACTCCTGGGCTACTGCCAGCCATACCCGAACACAACAGCTGATCTCGGAGAACAGGTTCTCTTTCCAACTTGGCAGAAGCATCGCGATTTTCTCTGCTGAGTCTGCTTACAGCCATGGACCACGGAGACTCGCACCAGAACGGTGTGCCACGTAGGCCAGCTTCAAAAATTCATCGCAGAAATCTCGTTCGCTTTCTCAGACCTTCAGGTTCGAGGCGCAGTCCAGTCCCGTTGCGACCTCCATGGCCATTTGGGCGTTTGCTTGAAATCGTCGGCCCCTTTCGGTAGGCGGAAGAGTAAGTGCTGCGTTGAACCCTGCGTGAGTCGAAACCCTGGAGTTTACTCAGGGGCCATAATTTCCAGCAACCCCCGTGTGTATTTGAATAATGACTGTGGGAGCTTTCCGACCGGGACTCTCGGCGTGGTGTTTCCCGATCTGCAGCTCATATCATATCTGTGAAATGCTAGCCATAACATAACAGAAGGTAACAAAATCCCACAAAGCAGACGGCTACAGTAGAGTAGAAGCTTAGAAGCAGAGAAAGGCAAGCTGCAGGTCTCCCCGGAAAGCTCCCTCCCCCCAGGGCCCCTTGGGCCTGCGTCGACCCAGGGAGCTGGTTGAAGATGGGCCCGGGGCAATGCTGAAGAGCATTGTCGGCCGAAGAGAGCACCTCGAAACATGGGAGACTCGAATGGGATATCTGAAGCTTGCAAGGCTTAATACCTGGTTCTGGCGGCCGCATGTCAAAAGACAGCAGCCATGTGCTCTTCTCCAAATCTTCATCTTCCAGGAGTCGGAGAGACTTGGGCAGCGAAGCCTTTAGACTCTCTCCAGCTCGAGGTGTTCGACCACTCGCTGAATCGTTTAAGTTGTGCCCGATGTGGCAGAGCTTTAGAGGCCAGCAGAGGGCGTGGCAAGAAGTCGCTTGCACGAGTTTCTGCTGATCCGTGCAGGGACCCGAGGCATGGCTTGCAGGCTTAGAGTGTGGTCCTCGTTGCAATTTGCAACCGGTTGCGAGAGGCTGCATCCGGTCCTCAAGACAGAAGCAGAAGCTTTCACCATCTTTCGCAGCCTCTTGGACCACCTTATACATGAAGGACTCCTAAAGGCCCATCGTGTGTGCCCGTGGATTTTTCAGTCGCTCTGCGGCTCTGCGGCTTCGATTGTTTGCTTCGCTCTTGTCGGAATGCATCTTGCATCTCCACCGTCTCGCTGAATAAAACAGAACTCGGAGTCGCGTGCTTCTCAGCCAGTCGAGCCTGACGCACAACGAGATGATGAGAGCAGTGGAGCCGTTCAGCCATGCTTAGGCACGCTGCCGAGTACAGCTTGCCCCAGGAGAGCAGGCAGGGCTACAGGAAAGGGTCAAGGGGTCGGAATCCCTGAAACATGCGCTCTTGATCAGGGCAGAGGACATCACGGCCATCTCCTCTTCGGACTCAGCCGAGCGCCGGTCTCCCAGAGATCCAGAGCACAGCGGAGGCCCCGGCCTGTGCAAGACCAAGGCCGGCCGCTTCGAAGGCGGAGTGGTCGGAGCCTGCTGAGAGGCGTACGACCTCTGTCGACGCCTGTGCTGGCACTTCCGGTGGAGCCAAGCCGACCGCCCAACGAGGTGGACGAGCTTGTGGCGGAACTGGCCGAAGCTCAGGAGCTCCAGAAGAAGATGTCGCAGCTCCTCAGCATGGTGTCGCAGCAGGGTGATCAGGGGGTGGTGGAAGTCGAGGAAGTTGAGGTGGTGGAGGCGGCGGACGACGGTGCAGTGGTAATGCTGGAGGCTGAGCCCGAGGATCCCGGTGCCAATGTATCCGTGCCCGGCCCAGACAAAACCAACCTCACAGTCACAGACGGCCCCGCCGACCTCGAAGATCCTGCAGACCTCGCAGATCCTACAGATCCTCTTGAGGATCCTCCGCAAGAGGCTGAGGCTGCCGAGGGCTTGGAGTTCGAAGGCTCTGAGTCCGAGGACACGAAGCGAACTGAAGCTATTGCTACGGGTTTGGGGAGGTCGCAACGTCAAATTCAAGTGCGGAATCCGTGGTCGCGGATGTATCGGGAAATGAGAAAACCGCCACTACTATCATTATCGGTTTTCGTATTGCTACATCTTCTATGTTACTGTCGCTGCCACTTCTGTCCCCTCCTTCTGCTACGACAACGACGGCGATTCCCGCTACCACCGTGTTCAAATGACACCTCTGATGAAAGAAGAACTTACGGTGTCTCGCATAAAGATGCGTGAATGAGGCCCCCCCCAGTAGACTTCGATGTACACATGTTAAGCAGGTCGCAGGTACATACAGATGTGCTTGTGTTGGCAGCTTTCTGTTGCTCGGCGACAACGAGCGACGACGACTACTATGCTGCAGCTGAGGGTGCGGCATCCCTGCCATGCAGTTTCCTCACCCATGTCGACCATAGCTCTTGAAATGCTTACGGCTTACGCTTTTGCTCACTCGCTACTCCGCTAATTTGCGCCGGTCCTTTTTGACTCGGGCAGCAGTCGCGAGGACGGGCCGGTGCTTCCAACCACCAACGAGGCGGACGGGCTGGTGGCGGAACTGGCCGAAGTTCAGGAGCTCCAGAAGAAGATGTCGCAGCTGCTGAGAAAGCTGGCTCAGCGGGGAGCGCGGAGGGTAAAGGAAGTTGAGGCGGAGGATGGCACGGCGCAGATACCCATAAAGAGTCCACCCGACTTCGCAGACCTTCAAGACCTTCTTGAAGAACCTCTGCAAGAGGCTACCAGCGACGGCTTGGAATTTGAAGGTTCCGAGTCCGAGGACCCGCAGCGTTCTGGTCCTGTTCCTGATTCTGTGTTGCCGTTGTAGCTTTCAGTACAATTCTGCAAGTCTCGTGTCCTGAGAACTTCACAAGCAGTGGGAGTGAGGAGGGCCCTGTGCTTCGGGGCAGTCCCATGGAGGCAGTTTCCCGTGCCAGCCCACGTAGCTTGTTGCTTTGTTGCAGCCCGCGGTAGTTTCCTGCCGTGAATTCGTATTCGTCTCTTAGCAAGTGGAGGTTGCCATGGGTGGCCTCACCCACGAATGGCGACAGAAGCTTCGCCGGGGCCTGTCCGAGGCGCACGGATGCTGGAAGTTGTTGCTAAGGAAAGGAGATGTGGGAGAAGGAGTTTCGTGAAGACTGCCACCGCTCTTGCGCTAGGCTTTGCTGTCAAATCTGGACTGGATTGAGCAGGCAAAGTCAAGGAGGGGCCGTTTCGTGCATCCATGGGTTCACAAGGAAGGCTTCTCAGGGTGTAGCAGTGTAGCTCAGAGTGCTGAGGTCCCATTTTTCCTCCAAAGCGGGCGTCAGCACCAAGATCAAGATGAAAACAAACGCACCACATCGTCTCGTCAGGAGCATCTTCCGCATCCCGCCACTGCATGCGGCAGAGAAGCGTCAGCCGGCAGAGGTGGGACACGAGACTTGACTTGTGCCCAAGCACTGGAGCTCCTGGCCAGGAGCTCTCTTTGAGTGATGTCGAAGGCCAGGGAGAAAGGGAGAAGCCTGAGAAGCATCTCAGCGACAGACTTTCAAAGTGCTGATGTTGCTGTGCTGTTGGTCAGGTTTTTGGAGCATGGACAGTGCCTGCCTTTCGCCTCATGTCCGTGACACGTCCTCGAGCTCCCTATATAGGGCTGGTTTTTAAGGGCCTTGGCATCCCTCGAGAGACGAGCCATGGCCTTGTCATTCCTACAGTGCGAAGCAGGCGCCGGGGCAGGAATGGACCTTGAAGACAGGTTCAAGGCTCTCGAAATGATGCTGACCACAGAGATGGAGACTGGGCTCTTCTTTAGGCACTGAAACTTTAAGTTACCATATGCTAAATGGTACTTCTCATATATATATATATATATATATGTATATAGATCGCTATCATGGTAGCTCAAGGTAGCTTCCTTAACAAGAGCCCAGGAGATGGCGGTACAGCCGCTTCGGGATCGGGTGCAGGTCCTCGAAGAAAAGTTGGGCCTGGCAGAGGACCCGAGCGAGACCGACGGCTTGTCGGTGTCGGTTCAGGTGGGTTTTGGGGGGGATTAGGGTATAGGGTTTAGGGTTCGGGCAGTACAAAAAAACGATAGCCCAGGTTGGGGAGAAGGGGGGTATGCCGGATTTTTTCTACAACCTCAGGTCACGATGGCATCGCCTAAAAACATGCATGAGGTGATCTCCTTGAAGGAGGATGGCACGGAGAAGAGTCGACCAAGCTATCTAAAGGTTCGCTCCGTGGATTCCCAAGATGTGGACGCTGTCACCGAAGATGACATGCAGGTGGCTTTTAGCCGTGACATTTGGACCTACTTTTCGCTTGTTGGGTTGGGGAAGATTGGCAGCTGGGATGCGTGCTTCACATTCATTCTGGCATTGGTGAGCTTAGCCATGCAGGCGGCATTCATCATTATATTGATGTCCGAGTTCTTCCTCGAGCGACCTTTCGAGGAAAAGGTGGAACTTGCCAAAATCTGGCGTACCAGCGTGGCCCACGACTCGAGGCACATGGACCTCGCTCAGACGAGCCTCGCCTCGCGCGTCTGCCGAGGAGACGGCGCTCTCATCGTGTCCACGATCCAAGCAGAACTCGTCGAGGAGATCAACAAATTCCTGGGTTTAGGCCTTGACGACTTTGAACCGAGCTCCTTCAGCCCAGGTACGATGCTTTCCGTTCTTTGCATCCTCCTGTGGTGCATGCGCGTGTACAAGGATCTCCGGCGCATGGGACTGGTCATGGAGGCTTGGTCCTGGATTCCACGATCCGACAACAGTAACACCATCATGAACGAGGATTTCGGCTTTGCCGAACTCTCCCAGAACCGCTTCTATGGCTTCGGAACTATTTTGTTCGTGTGCTTTGCCATGGACTGCCTCTTGCTGGTCGCCGGAATCCGTCTTCTGGCATCCACCACATCTATCTCATCCTTGATACTTGATGCGGTCGCGCTCGAGGCGATCTTGGACATCGACGACTTTATGTTTCATGCCCTGGCGCCCTTGAGAGCCAGATTGCTTATCCAGGGATTGCAGCCCATGCAGGTGAAAATCAGTCAGGACCGAAGCCAAGTGGAGTCCGGATTTAACTTCTGCCTTCTCGCCTCCGCGCTGGTGTTGCCCTACCTCTTCATGCTGGCACCACTTGGCCTCTCCATGCAAGCCGTGAAGTACGAGCTTTGTGGTGGAAGCCAGGAGTTCGTAGTAGCTTACAATCAGGACATCCAGATGACCTATGCACTACGGACGCAGGCGGAGAGAGGCATAGAGCTTCTTCCCAGCGAAGTGGCCGTGGATGAGTTTAAGCACAGCTCCGAGGGGACACTTCCTCGATACATGGTCTTCTCGCCGACCTCGCAGGCCTTCGACACAGACCAGGTCCGAACCATGGCCCAGGAGGCTGCGACTTTCCCCATCTGCTTCGAGACCCAGGTCCTGCAAGAGACAGGTCGTGTCTACCGCGATCCTGTGGCCATGTCGCTGATCGAGCCACGCTTTCAGTCCATGGTGGCGAAATTCGGCCGCAACGCCACTACTTGTGAGGAGATGCAGGACCTCTGCTACATGCCTGAGGCACGGATGCTGCGTTACCTTTGTGGTGGGACGTGTGGCTGTGCTTCCGCCGCAGCCTCGACCTGGTACAAGGTTGCTCGGCAAGGGTGTTCCGAAAGCTGTCTGAAGGAGGCTGAGGCTGCGACCTCCTGCACGGATGTTGCGGCCACATCTGCAGGATGGCGATCGTTTTGGATAAACTACGTGCCGGTCGTGTCGTCCTTCTTCGGCCAGAACTTAGCTCAAGCAAACATGCTAACAATGCTGAATCAGACTGTACAAGCTATGCTGACTGAGGGTTGTCCCAGGCTTCTAGTCAACGACACCGATTTTGTCACTTCCGTAAAATGGTGCGAGGGCTTTCCAGACCTTTTCCGACCAGTTGCCTTCTTGTGCCCTGAAACCTGCGGATGCAAAGCATCTGCCTCGGGTTTTTGTCCCTCCACCTGCCTTTCCGATGCTGTGCACGGCTCGACCAACTCGAGCAATGCATCGTTTGTTCCGTGAAGAAGGCCGTCGGCGCAATTGCACCGACAGCTGTTCCTTGTGTTCGTGCTCGGTCCGGTCAGCACCATGGGACATCCTCAAACTTGGCCAATTCTGCCGGGTTTACTCCCGCCTCTGTCTCACAGATTGGTTCCAGTCTCAAGCGCTGACATGAACCGCATAGTGATTGTCGACTGAAACACATGTCAGCCCTATGTAGATCCGGGCTTCAACTGCTTGTTTGGAAGGTTGAGGGCAAGATTTAAATTTCGCGGGTTCGCAGGTCTCCTCGACGCACATGTGGCATCCCACAACCCCCAGGACTGTCCTGCACTGGTTGTTCTTTCGGGTCTTTTGCGACCCCACAGTCAGTGCAGGAAGTACCAAAGCCGACGGGCGAGGCCACAGATTCTGGCGATAGAGTCGAGATGAACCGATGTCGTACAAGCAATCTCATGCCACCTGTCATAGGTAGCGCACCTGCTGTCGGAGCTGGCTCAAGGCGCATAGCTGTGGACGCCCGATTCTTCTCTGCAGCAGGAAGTAGTGCTTTCCAGGGAGGTGCTCCTAGGGCCAAGGCAACCGAGGGCCTAGATGTACTTCCCAGTGACAGTTACCTTGGAGGATGTAGCGACAGTGGCGACATTCTCGGAGCCTGTAACCCTGTTCACCGAGCTCCCCAGCAAGCTCGCAGGTGGCGATGAAGTCAACGCCGAAGACTACTGGGTCGGAGACCTGAGCCTTGCCCGTTGCTGCCATGCTGCAGCGATGCCTTCACTTCTCCGCTTTGCTGGAGGTTCGCGGAGTCGACCACTCAGCACTGCCGTGCTCTTTGCTTGAGCTGCGGTCCTAGACGACATGTTGAACCTGAGGAGTGGGATATCGAAGGACTGCGTGATGACGCAACGCGCTTAGTCATAGTCGTATTCGTAGGTGAAGTCTATTTCAGGCCTTGGAGAGTGCGCATATCGAAGTTTGTTACAGACACGTATCTCAGACACATCTCCCGACAATGTACGATGTCCAACACAGAGACAATTCGCCCAGTGCCGCAAAGCTCAACGCGAAAATCGAGTGCAGAGTCGCCGCTACGTTCACCCGGCCTGTAGAAAGCTCGGCGAGATCTTGAACGAGCCAAAGGCAGATAAGACAGCTCTCGGTGATTAGCATTGAGCAACCACATTCGTTCTTGGTGTTCGTGAAGTGGTAGCCGGCCCAGGTGGCTTTGGTCCAACTGGAATTGAAGGTCAAGGAGGCTGCGGAGGGAGTCCAGAGAACGCCGTCCAATGGCTTACCTTGGTGGGGTCTATTTTGTCATGGCATAAAACATTACACAATTTTAGTACTTGCAGTGTATCATATTTTATTTATGTATATATGTGTATATGTAGAACTCCTTGTTGCCCCAAGAGTCCTAAAAGACAGGCTGAACTCTGCGCAAAACGGGGCCCAAGGCTCTTCGAGCCAAACCGGCTCTCAACCTCCAAACGGGCTCGCCTTGTGTCGAAAAACCGGCCCGACACAGAGGCTACAAAACTGAAACGCCCGTGGTTTCACAGGAGAGGCCGAAAGATCCCGGGGAGCCAGACCCGGCCGGCTTAGCGGCGGCGTGCTCCTCAGCCTTGCCAGCGTCGAAGCCTTCTTCCCGTCTCTATTGTGCTGTACATCAGCTAGGCAGAAACGAAGAATCTGCATGGTGAAGTAATGTACTGTATGGTTTGCTTGACGCAGAAGCTGCAGTTCCATGTCTACCAGACGGCTCCGAGAGATGCATGTATGTATACTTGTGTTTGTGTGTTTTCATCTACACAAAGCCTTAGTAATTAGACAGGGGTTTTGGTTGCTTCCATGTTATAGTTATTCTAATTAAAACCCTAAAGCCCAAAACTGTCTGGCTTGTTCCGAGTTGCGAGAGCGTAAAGCCCAAAACTCTAGGTTGGCAAGTCACGGTAGTAAAGGTAGCAGCCAGGCTCTCGAAGCCGTGCCTGCGTCAGCGAGTGCGCATGTCGAAAGCCCGAAACTCCCAAGCCTATTCTAATTATTAAGGCCCTATCTCTATTATTCGAAGGTTCGCCAAAGGCTGCTAAAGCGCCTGGAGCTAGAGCTTCACGCAGAGGTACCCTCGAAGGAACAGGGTTTGGGGTTTCCTTTCTTCAGGGTACCCAGCAGTCGCAATAGGCCTGGATGCAAAAGGGTTTAGGGTTTGGGGCATAGGGTTTAGGGTGTATAGGGTTAGGGTTTAGGGTTTAGGGTTTAGGCCCTATAGGCGGGCATATACAAGTCTGTGCAAGAGGGTATAAGGCCGGTAGCATTGAAGCTGGTGAAGTTCAAGGGTTCGTTTTGCACGGCAACAGCAAGTATGAGTGTTCGATGGATGCTGCGAGAGGAGAGGATCCTTCCGTCGTGTTGATTTGATTTGCCAGGTTGAGCAGACTACGAAGCTGCGTGGGGCTTGACTTGGTCAAGTGCAGTATTGCTCCGTGCTTCATGTGTTGTGCGATTCCTGAACCCTTTGCTGATTCATCCTGCAACCTGGTGGCATACTGCCTACCGATTCCATTGAACAATTTCTGATTTGTCTCCCGCTGCAGCGTTTCAATATAACAGTGTTTGCACGTGCGGAGCTCAGTAGCGTCAGTAGATGCGGCACCCAAAGACCAGCAAGGGTGCAAATGCAGGGCTGCTCAGCTTCAACACCAACTTGTGTCTGCCAAAGAAACGCATGCTGTTTTAAGGCAGCAGAGCAAGTCTCACTAATGCCTTCTGTTCCCACCTGTGCATGTGCATGGCGGCTGATGGGTTCGGCCTCCGCTTGCTGGAAGCGGGAGAAGTTTGTGAAGAGGTTGGGGAGGACACTTCATGCATGCTTCCGGCGGTGCATGCACTGGAGGGTTCCACTCATTATAATTAGGCAGACTCAGGACGCGTGTTTGCCACCGGGGGGCAGGGATAGAATTTCATATTAAAATCAAAAAAGAGAGCGAGCAGCGTACACATGTTCGATTGTGTAAGTGATGACTCGTAGCTGTCGTAGCTCAAGCATGTATTTGTTGCCGTCTGTCCACCTGTTCTAAGTGCACAGACCGGTGACTGTACCTGATTTGTTTCTGTACTGCTATCTATCGATTCATCTGTGAGTAGATGTAAAAGTATACTGTACTTTCAAATGGGCGATCAGTGTGCAAACGGTTCGTCATGATGTCGATAGTTGTACGTCGTACACACTTGTGTACGAATACTTGCATGTCGCTGTGTGAAATCTTTTGCAGTTCTTCTGTTCGCATGCGTAGATTGGCAACATTTGGCAACTTGTGCCTTCGATGGTTTGTTTCATGCACATGTCCGCAGCATGCACATGCGAGTCTCTTTCGTTCTGTATTTACAATTGTTGACATGTTTCCTAATATACATGTAGTGGGCTGCATGCAGTTAAAACCAGGTGCATTTTTACGTGGCTTCCGGCATTTTCAGATACATGCTCACATCGGTATATGCAAACTAACATGTCATTCCTGTAGGTATCTGCATACATGTACGCATGGTTGTATGTTATGTTATGTTATGTTAGGGTGCATGAACGTAAGTATGTATGTATGTCATACATACATACACACATACATACATACGTACATAAGAACATAAATAAACATTGCGAGTTTTTGCAGTGCTGCCCAGGACCTCGAAGTATTCAGTGCAGCCGGGCGTGGGCGAGGTCTGAGAGGCGCAACAGCGGTGCCTGGCGATGTTGTGCCTTTGGGAATATGGTGAAACAAAGCGCATCCATGACTATCTAGGTGCATGCATGGAAACCCAAGGCGCTCACAGCACAGTAGTTTTCGAGAGTTTGGAGTGATTTTGTTTGTTCGACCTGTGCTATTTCTTCTTCGCCTCCAGCATGGACGAATGGAGCGCTGTGCAAACTGCAATAAGGTCCTGGCTGAGCAAGCTGTCTTGGCTGAGCCGTGCGTCCTCGGGCCGCACGTACTGCCTGTATTAGTATTCGGGGGCATCGATCCCATTTGTCCGTGCATGTCCGGTGCATGCACCTTGCGAGTTCTGCCAAGGCCAGTGGGGAGGATTTTTCCATTGCGGCCCAAGAGGACTGGAAGCAACTCGGTGCCTTCACCCGAGCCAAGCTACTGTCGCTGCGCTGGCGCAGCGCAGTCAAGGAGGGTTCGGAGCTGCCGACAGCGACAGCGCTGGGTCCCTTGCGTGACTGGCCCCGGCTGGAGGCCTCTGAGCACCTGGGCCAGGTGGCCACGGCCACGGCTTCGAAAGCTCCAGGGATTCCGAGGCTCCGGGGCGTGGCCGCTTTCAACGGAATGGCGGTGCTGAAGATGGTTGTGAAGCCATCGGTTTTAAAGACCATCGAAGCGCAGCCCCGGCATGGCCTGGCCATCTACCCGGACGGCAGCTTGCTGAACCACTCCTGCCTGCCAAACGTTAACAGGCAGGGATTGCATGGTGGGATCATGGGATCATCTCCCAGCAAACTACAAAGAATTACCAATCGCATTCCAGTTGTCTGTTCAGACGTTGCATCTGTTTTCTCCGGTGGCCTTCGGTACCCTTCCTGATAGTCGGCTGATAGGGTAGACGATCTCTCCGGTTCTTCAACGACGAGTTAGACAGACGAGTTTTCACGGGCTGCTTGCGAGGCTGCCGTTCCCTTCGTGCCTAGTTGTTCGAGCAGCACGAGATTTGCTTCCTCAAGACGAGTTGACCTGCACCTACATCGAGGCTCCTGCTGTAGTTAGTGCCTGCTGAGCAAGCGAAGTGGCCACCTCACTGCATGGGATCTCAATCCTTTCCCTGCTGCTGCTTCCAAAGTCGAACCAGGCAACTGTTAGACACGATCGGAGGAGAGTCTGTTTTCATGGCTGACAAAGATTGCACGTTGCACGGACATGAACGGGTCTAAAAGTGGAGACGATCCCACAAACTTGGCTGCGTCTTGAGCGGAGTTAAATATGCTTCGAGGGGACATACCAAACTCTCCGACCTACCCTTTCAAGATGCAAGTTCTGGGAAAGTGAATTCACGTGTTGCATGTCAGAACCCTGCCCGCTCAGCAGTGCAGGAGGCAAAAATTACGACTAATGATTACCATTAATATTCTTACCATCATTTTTTGATTATTTCTACTACTATTGCTGTTGTGACCATACCTAGTTCCTCTTGCTGCTACTGCTACTCTTATTCACCCTTCATTTGTGGAGCCCTGAGTCAGGTCCGAGCTCCTCCCTTCGCGCGCCGCGCGGAGTTGGAAGACGCCTGGGGCTTTGAGCCGCTCGGCTGTGGCGCCTTGAGGATCCTTGAGGAGGACGTTAAGCCGTTAAGCTCCCTGATGAAGCGATGAAGCCCAGGAGGATGAGATGCTGAGGTATTTACAATATACATTTATAAAATACGCGACATGTGTGTGTTATATGTGTAACTATACATATGTATTTATATATATATATATATATATGTAGACACATATACGCACACATATGTTGAGGTGAGCTTTTCCGATCTCGTGTGAAGGGTTCGGCCGATCGGCCCAAGTATCAGACGACTCGGCTCTGCCTGGGCTCAGGTGCGGGTGTGGCCGCTGTCAGCTGGAGGCGAAGATCTGGGCGGCTGAGCCCGAGGCTGCTCGGTTTTTGGAATCACATAGGGTTTATAGGGGTTTGTAGGTTTTAGGGTGCAAGGGAAAAAGGGAGCATACCTGAAATCTTTGCGGCCTTTGGGATCCGAAAGCAGGTATAGACTGGGGGTGGACGACAGCCCAATCTTGAAGAGGGCGTTGAGGTTTGAAGTGCAGTGTGGAGTTAATGGGTTGTGGGGCTTCGGGTTTTTGATCTCGAGGCCGAGAAGAGGGCTCGCTCACTGTGGCGGCGCTTTGAGCGGCGACGCAGAGAGGGCGCCTGCTCGGAGCAGGATGCCAGGGCGCCAGGGAACCCCCCAAAAGCACCTAAAGCATGTCTTATTCTGTTGCCAACATAGCAGCTACGTAGCATCCCCAACTTTACGTGCCCCTCATGCGGACCATGGCCGGGCTCATCGATTCATCCTTGCAGCAATGACAGCTTTTAGCCGAGCGTCTGCTACCGTGTTCACAGTTTCACGGAAGCATGCTTCTCATCACAGACGTCCTCGTGGGCCATGTGGCAACGGTAATGCAGGGTTTCTTGAGATGGCTGTGCGTGCACAGCGATTTGGGTTAAAGCACCGGGGCGGCATTCGCCAGTCAGCCACGATCGAATTACAGCCGCCAGGAGTTGCGAGAGATGGTTGCAGAGGCTGCCGACTGCACAGGAGAAGTGCTCCGGAGGTTTTTGCAAACTGGGGCCGAGACACGGCGGCACAAGAATCCGAAAAATTCATCCGCCTGCATCTCTGTTGGTCAGTGCAACTCTCCGGCGCAGTCTTACAAGCTACAAGCGCTCCATTGTACCTTCCAGTTTGTAACTAAGGAAGGGGATTTTCAAGGAGATGCTGCGGGCTCCCTTGGTCGCAAGATGCCGTGTGGGTTCCCGTTCCAAGAGACCCTGCTAGTGCTACTGCTCCTGCTACTCCTCCGACTACTCGCTGTCATAGCCGTGCGGAGTGGGTACTCCTCCTCCTACTACCCCTCCTCCACCTCCTCCTCCTCCTCCTCCTCCCACTGCCACCGCTACTGCTCTCATAGGCGTGCCAGGTGGGTGACAAAAACAGCAACTACTACTTTCTGCCAAGGCTGCTACCTTTCCTTTTTGTGTTGTGACTTCTAGATTGCGCCCGCATCGCAATGCTAAGTCTACCGGCCGGCCCTGGGCTGTGAAAACCCGGACGCTCAGAGCGAGAGCGCCCGAGCCGCTTCGGCCTCTTGGCCTCCTTGGATGGAGCCTTCTTCCAATGAATTACCTATGCTCTTCTGGGGTTCCTTGTTATACCCTCCAGCAGGCTGTGCACGCGCAGATTGCGCGCCTCCTTTGACTCGGTATTTACAGTGTTTCCTTCGTGTCGCATGGCAAACACACCGGTAATTACGGTATATTCGGCACCTACTGAAACCCACATTTTGCACCTGCCGTTTCCCTCGGTATTTACGGTGTTTCCTTAGGGTCATATGCCGAACACACCGGTAATTACCGTGTGTTCGGCACTTTCTACAGCCCACGTCAGCCCACGTCGCCCAAACCATCCATGGGTGGCCCATAGATCAGACTCCATCCATCCATGTGCCAACCATGATAACGTCCACATGTGCCAACCATGATAACGTCCAGATCAGATTCCATCCATTCCCGCAGAGCATCCATGTGGGCAGCCATGATAACGTCCAGATCAGACTCCATCCATTCCCGCAGAGCAGCCATGTGGCAACCATGATAACGTCCAGATCAGACCCCATCCACTCCCGCAGAGCATCCATGTGGCAACCATGAAAACGTCCAGATCAGACTCCATCCATTCCCGCAGAGCATCCATGAGGCAACCATGAAGACATCCAGATCAGACTCCATCCATTCCCGCAGAGCATCCATGTGGCAACTATGAAAACGTCCAGATCAGACTCCATCCGCCCCCGCAGAGCATCCATGTGGCAACCATGATAACGTCCAGATCAGACTCCATCCATTCCCGCAGAGCATCCATGTGGCAACCATGATAACGTCCAGATCAGACTCCATCCCTTCCCGCAGAGCATCCATGTGGCAACCATGATAACGTCCAGATCAGACTCCATCCATTCCCGCAGAGCATCCATGTGGCAACTATGATAACGTCCAGATCAGACTCCATCCGTCCCCGCAGAGCATCCATGTGGCAACCATGATAACGTCCAGATCAGACTCCATCCATTCCCGCAGAGCATCCATGTGGCAAGCATGATAACGTCCAGACCAGTCTCCATCCTTTCCCGCAGAGCATCCATGTGGCAACCATGATAACGTCCAGATCAGACTCCATCCATTCCCGCAGAGCATCCATGTGGCAACCATGAAAACGTCCAGATCAGACTCCACCCACTCCCGCAGAGCATCCATGTGGGCAACCATGATAACGTCCAGATCAGACTCCATCCGTCCCCGGAGAGCATCCATGTGGCAACCATGATAACGTCCAGATCAGACTCCATCCATTCCCGCAGAGCATCCATGTGGCAACCATGATAACGTGCAGATCAGACTCCATCCCTTCCCGCAGAGCATCCATGTGGCAACCATGATAACGTCCAGATCAGACTCCATCCATTCCCGCAGAGCATCCATGTGGCAACCATGAAAACGTCCAGATCAGACTCCACCCACTCCCGCAGAGCATCCATGTGGCAACCATGAAAACGTCCAGATCAGACTCCATCCATTCCCGCAGAGCATCCATGTGGCAACCATGATAACGTCCAGATCAGACTCCATCCATTCCCGCAGAGCATCCATGTGGGCAACCATGATAACGTCCAGATCAGACTCCATCCGTCCCCGCAGAGCATCCATGTGGCAACCATGATAACGTCCAGATCAGACTCCATCCATTCCCGCAGAGCATCCATGTGGCAACCATGATAACGCTCCAGATCAGACTCCATCCGCCCCCGCAGAGCATCCATGTGGCAACCATGACAACGTCCAGATCAGACTCCATCCCTTCCCGCAGAGCATCCATGTGGCAACCATGATAACGTCCAGATCAGACTCCATCCCTTCCCGCAGAGCGTCCATGTGGCAACCATGAAAACGTCCAGATCAGACTCCATCCATTCCCGCAGAGCATCCATGTGGCAACCATGAAAACGTCCAGATCAGACTCCACCCACTCCCGCAGAGCATCCATGTGGCAACCATGAAACGTCCAGATCAGACTCCATCCATTCCCGCAGAGCATCCATGTGGCAACCATGAAAACGTCCAGATCAGACTCCATCCATTCCCGCAGAGCATCCATGTGGCAACCATGATAACGTCCAGATCAGACTCCATCCATTCCCGCAGAGCATCCATGTGGGCAACCATGAAGACATCCAGATCAGACTCCATCCGTCCCCGCAGAGCGTCCATGTGGCAAGCATGATAACGTCCAGATCAGACTCCATCCATCAACCATGATAACGTCCAGATCAGACTCCATCCCTTCCCGCAGAGCATCCATGTGGCAACCATGATAACGTCCAGATCAGACTCCATCCATTCCCGCAGAGCATCCATGTGGCAACCATGAAAACGTCCAGATCAGACTCCACCCACTCCCGCAGAGCATCCATGTGGCAACCATGATAACGTCCAGATCAGACTCCATCCATTCCCGCAGAGCATCCATGTGGCAACCATGATAACGTCCAGATCAGACTCCATCCATTCCCGCAGAGCATCCATGTGGCAACCATGATAACGTCTTAAACAGACTCGCACTCTCGAGAGCTGCTGCTTCAAAGAAACCGGCGGCGTGCTTTTCTTCCAAGAAGAGAAATGTTCGAGTTGTGGATGGTGATAATCAATGCGAGAGCCAGATTGCTGTTGGCAAGAACCAGTTGCGCAGGCTCAGTGCTATGGGCAGAATGGCACCGCGCAATGCGCACACTTGTACTTGAATGTTTCGGGTGTTGCTAACATGTTAGAAGTGGTTGGTACAATTGCGAGGGTTAGCTAAGCAACTTAGGGCCTTTATTAAGGGGGTTTAGCGAAGTTAGGCTAAGGGGTTAGCAACCTGGAAACTAAGTATATCAATGGTGAAATTTATGGTTATGTAATGACAGAACATGAAGATTTGAGAAGTGAAATCTCAAAACTGTTTTCGGTTTTCGGTAATTTGCGAGTTAAAAGCAAAGAAAACAAAGTCTACAGCACAAAAATCAAAGAATTAACAAAGCGAGAATACAGATCTCAGAGGGTTGAAAATTAGAATCAACCCAACTAGCTGTTCGAGAAGCAAACAAGCATGCAGCTCAACTGGCTCCGGCAAAAGCATGCCTGCCTGCAAAAGTACCGTCCAAATCCCATTCGTCGTCTGCGAGATGCATGACATGGAGTATTGTTTTGTTGCATGCATGCATGGCAGCATGTCACGGAGCATTGCATGCTGCATGCATGCCATGCACATGGAGCCTGCTCGAAGGCTTGCATGAGGCTTGCCATGAAGCATTGCATGCTGCATGCATGCCATGCACAATCGAGCATGGAGGCATTCTTGCTACAATCCTGCTGCATGCATGGCATGCATCATGGAGCACGATCGCATGCATGATGCATGTCCATGGAGCACTGCATGCTGCATGCACTGCATGCTGCATGCATGACATGGAGCATGCATGGCATGCATGGAGCATTGCATGCTGCACATGGAACATGAAGGCTTGCATGATGCTTGTCAATGGAGCCTTGCATGCTGCATGCATGCCATGTGTACGAAGCATGAAGGCATGCATGATGCATGTCGTGCATGCATGCTATGCACAACATCGGACATGAATGCATACGTACTACAATCATGCTGCATGCATGCAAGAATAAACACAGATCGTGGAGCATCAGTTGCATGCATATATAAGCATGGCTGCTGCGATTTTCTTGCCGGCAACATCTTCAAGCCATGCTGTTGCACAGGTGGCGGGGTAGCAGGGTGGTGAGAATGCCTGCATTGTTATTGTAAACTACACTGCACAGGAAAGCATCAACCTGCATGATGGATAGGGCTTCACCTGCAATCCTCCACTTGGCCACTTGCTTCACTGCATCATGGGAAACATACTCGCATCTGGACACAACACCTGCAACATAGCCGTCCACTTCGATAAGCCATTGGAGTCGGCCACAGCAAAAGGGGATGGGTGATTCATTGTCGGCAGCTGCATGGTGCAAAACAACATCACCGGTATGCAAGACAGCACCAGAAGCTAGCCGGCACTCTTTGCTGCAGTTGCAGGAATCACTCTCAGACACGATGTTGCTCTGCAGAAGTTGTGCCATTACTTTGGCGGATACGGGGTGAGGCTGCAGGAGATGAGGGCCAGCTCGAAATGGAGTGTCGCTCGAAAGCAAGGCAAGCTGTTCAGCATTTGTCTCCTCCAATAACCCTTGTTCAAAGTTGGTGGTGTTGCTGGTAGCTGTGCCGTATTTTCGCACTGATTTGTGTTTTCGCTCCAGTGTCCAGCATGCTGGCATGCATCGAAATCGTGACAGACATGCCTCAAAATGTAAACACCAATGAAACTTCGGAGCCATCTGGTCTCCCCACCCGGCGGCGACGGTGAGGGACAATGCTCGCTCGACAGTCTGCAACAAAAGGCCTGCTGGAGGCAGTTGTAGTGTACAAGCTATCAAGATGGCCAAGACTTCCAACCAAGACAAGCAAGCTTCCTTTGCAAGAGTGTCATCCGGGCTGGGGCAGCAGGTATGCAAAAAATATTCTAAAGGCTTTGAAATTGCTAAAACCTCAGAGGCTGAGCATTTGATGTAATTTGCCTTCCTGTGTGCCTTCATCTTCTCCTGGCTGAACAGCTTGTGCAGTGCCGCTGCTTTCTGGGCTTTCGGCCATTGCCAGAGTTGCAAGTAGTCATGAAAGGTAGCAGCTTTTCCAGTGGCTTCCAGCACCCACAGGATTATGCAGTTGAGGACTCCCATGCTGCATAAAGAATGCATCCAATCAAAGCAATATTGCGAAGCCGGCCGCAATACATTCAGACTTCGTAGAACAGTGCTCATCATCAGGGCATGCGGCGAGAAAGACCACCCACAAGCCTGTTGCCACTGTTGGAACTTGCTTTTGGACTCTGTCCGGTGTCTTGATTCCATTCGTTCCCACGATTCCAAGAGCTCATCGTCTGTAGCTTGATGGCATGCATCCCATGTCAAATGTTTTGCCGATATCTTGACATCATCCT